CAGCAGGTCACAGCCAGGCAGCAGCCCCCACTGCCAGACTGCTGCAGTGGGTAGAGGGTACAGGGAACTCTCAGGGCTGCTTCAGCAGTCCAGCTGGCACAAGGGGTAGTGTCCCCAGGTACCAATTGGCTGGGCCCCAGAAGCTCCTGAGAGCAAGTAGCCCTGAACTACTTGCCAGGGCAGCTTTTTATACTGATGGCGCCAGAATAGGGTAGCTTTTTACACTGCTGGGGCCAGCACAGGTGCTGGCACCAGGTTCTGGCTCCCCCTGGCAGCAGATCCAGGAAGAGCCAGGCAGGGTTATTTTGCCCCAAGTTGCGCAACTTGCACCACACCAAAGTGCATGTCCGGGAACGTTTGCTAAGGCAAAAAGCCCCGGCTCAAGTTTGCATCCTTGCTAATTGAGCTGTTGCAAGTGTACATGCCTGCTTGTGTGGACATGCCTGTAGAATCTAAAAATATTTAAGAATACTATTAGTTGCAGCTGCATATAGTACATGAGGTTTTTTTTTTCCTATGCAGAAATATCTGTTATATAGTTTCATTATGCAGGAGGCAAAGGTTTATTAGGGTGCTGTCTTATTGGACTAACTGTATAGCAGATATAGAGTTATACCAGGTTTGAATTGCGAGACATGCTTCATCAGGTTCTATTATAAATTGTTAATACTAATGTGATTTTCATTAGTCCCAGTGACAGCATCAAAGGAAATACTGCAGAACCGTACTGCTTGTGTTTTGTTTTCTCCAATGAAAACATTGCAAAACTTCTTAGCAGTCCATTTCAGAATACTAAAGTATAGAAAGAAAGAATAAATCATGGCAAGTGGAAGACAGCTAACAGAATTGGGAAGAAAGTTAAAGATAGTAAAAATATTTCTTTATATTAATTTTATTATCTTCAGTGGAAAAATCTTTACTTTTTGTGTACTTAAATTTTAAATGCTGAAAGTAGACGACTTAGACACCTGATAATAAAGATTTTTTGGTATGCAAATGGAGAGATCTTCTAAAAAATCAGTTTGAATAAACATTTGCAAGCACAGAGTATGATAATATAAAACTCACTTGGGCTATTACCAGATGAAATCCATTCATGCTGACCAACTCTCATTTCTGTAGAAATGATGTATGGTTTTATATACATAAAACAATGTAGCAGTGCTTCAATATAGCAGTTTATTTGGAAAGACTTTGTACAGCTGAATGGAAAGAATAACACTCCAGTAAGTACTAGAACATAACTGCCTGTCTCAACTGGTCACTCACAAATGTCTTTTGAAAGCATTTCTTACTAGTAACTCCATTATCACAGACTGACTAAAATTTATTTACTGCCAGAAAATGTTGAATGCCTTTCATTCATCCAGCATCCTTCTTGGTGTCTATTATTAGTTGCTTTCAGACTCTATCTGCAAAAGTAACAATGCAAACCCATTTGAGAGAGGTAGGTTTTTCTAGGGCAAGGGGTTTAGAGGGGTGGTTTTACTTTTATTTATTTTGATAATAATTTAAACGAAGGAAGTTCCTAGTGGGCTGGAAAAACATATATAGTGAACGTTGCTAGAAAGAGGAGCTGCTTAGAAGGGGAAAAAAATGTGAAGTTTCCTTAGTGCACAGCTGTGAGCCAGAGACCACAGCATATTTATCCTGGCTTTGGCTTGCTGGGCAGTCTCTGAAAAGTCTCCCTTAAATTCCCTGCCTCAGTTTACTGGTTAGTAAAGTAGGAATGGTAATACTTGCCTAAAAGGTGTATGCATGCCTGCCTAGAGTTTTCTCAGGGTTCACCCCTGCTCTCCCTTTCTTTTTACTTTTCCCTTGCTGAACAAGGCCTGGCATTGTAGCTGCTGTCTGAGGTCAAGGAGGAGCCTCCCTTTAAGCCAGTTCACGCCATTGCTTAATAATCCACATAGGTCTAACAATGTGTGTTGAATGCTCAACCCTCCCAGTCCCTGGGAGGGCTGAAGTTGAGAATGGAAATTGGACTGGTGTGTCACATGTTGCACTGCAGCATGTGATCAGAAGACTTGGACCCTGATCATACTGTACCGCTAGATGCATTTTAATAGTATTCTGTTACTAATTGCTGTACTTTCCCTTTTCTTCCATACCACAAGTGTGTATATTATATTTGTGCTTAGTGCCATTGAATGCAAAAATTTCTGTATGAATCATATTTTGCATAGTACCCCTATACAGATGAGCTTAATTCAGGTATGTTTGAGGCAAACGTTCAGTGAGAGAGAGCAGTGAACCTGAAAAGTTTCTACTTAACTCTCTAAAGCAAAACTATGTATTTACAAATCCTGTTTACAGCTTAGAGAGTGTCAGAAACACTACTTTGACTGCTCCATTGTTAAAGGAGATAATACAGTTTTCAGTTTAGTTCTTGCTATTGTATATTCTATCCCTAACAATATTAAGTGGAGAAAAGGTCAATGAACTTTCCGTGTGTGGGCATCACATCTTGAAAGTGAAGTAGCAAAAAAACCCCCAAAAACTGTTTTCATGATTTAATTTGTTTGTTTCTCTCTGTAGTTCAGATGATAAGAAGAGTACGAACTGGAAGCAGCTTCCTAAGAAGCCATGCAAAATTCTGTTGAGCACTTTAAAGAAACTACATCCACAGTTAGCATCAGGTAAAGCATGACAGCTAAAATAAGGGGGACAGAGATAGGAAAGGAAGCAAATATTCTATGAAATTACTGTGTGGTATTGATGATGTACACTAGCTGCTCTTAAACAAAAAACTGAGGGTATAAATGTTAAGACCCTTACCATCGTATGTATATGTTTTGCAGATTTTCTTTTCTCACTTCTGGTTAAAGATATACTGAGATAAGATACCCCTGAAATCCTCCTATATGCAGAAGGAAGTTGTGTTTAAAATGCAGTTTAAATAGGGTCAGCTGAATCATGTTATGGATCCAAGCTTATTATGATCATGTTAGAACAGTTCTATAAATGATTGCCAAGGTAACTGAAGAAATATTAAGAGTATGAATGCAACAAGTCCTTAACAGTATTTGTATAATGCTTCATACATTGCCAGTTGAAAATCTGAGGGTAAAAGTCAATAAAGTTGCTTTAATTCTAATCAAATATTTGGAAAAATGTTGTCCAGTAAACAACTTTTTATGGTTTGACTCTCCAAACCAATTGACTTCCGTCAAACTAGATTCCAGTCACGTTGGAAGTGTGTTTTTAACAGTTTCCAGGTGCTGTCCCCTTCTAAATACATGCAGGGCCTTTAATGTGAGGTCTTAAGTTAGTTTAGTACAGGTTTCGCTCAATTTATGCATTCCTGGAGAACGGCGCATAAATCAAATTTGTATAAAGCAAACCACCTTTACCATGTAACAAATAGGGATAGGTTCCCATGGCGGTGAGGAAGGGAGGGAGTGAGGCTGGGACTAGGGAAGGGGCAGGGGGAGGGGTGCCGCTCCCGGGGCTGCACAGGGCAGCAAAGCAGAGGGAACAGAGCAGCACTTACCTGAGCCCTGGCTTCAGCAGCCCCGGGAGCAGCCAGCGCCAGCTGCCTGCAGCCTCTGGGCTGCACCATGCTCCACCTGTCCCCCTGTGCCTGGGCTCTGCTTGTCTGCACTCACCTGGGCTCCTGGGCTACACTGTACCCTGTTGCAGGCAGCTGGTGTCGGCTGCTCCTGGGGCGGCTCCAGCACAGGCTGGGGTGAGTGCAGACAAGCAGAGCCTTGGGCAGCATGGGATGTGGCACTCACCCCAGCCCTGAATGCAGCGGCCCTGGGAGTGGCTGACACCAGCTGCCTCTAGCCATTGAGCTGCACTGTGCCCTGGTGTAGGTAGCTGGTGCTGGCTGCTGTCAAGTAGCTCCTTCACTTGCAGGCCTGTAGGACACCGCCTGCCGGCCAACTCAAGAGGGACGGATTCTAATTGGAGTTCTACAGGCCCATGCTTTTTGCCTGCCATGACTTGGTGTTTAAAGGAGTTGGTTCAGTACCTGGATGTGTAGTTCAGTTAGTCGTCCCACGAAGGTCCTACATTCCTGAGGTCTCCGCCACCCCTACACCCTCGCCCGTTCTACCAGGATCTGATTGGCTGCTTGGCCCTTCCACATGACCTCCATCCTAAAGAAAAAAACAAAAAAAACCAAAACCAAGCACTTCTGGCCTGGATTATTGTTCCAGCTCCTTTTAGCAGAGCACAAACAAAATTGACATTCATGAGGTCAGTCCCTCTTCTCTTCCACTACCGTCTCTGTGGTGGCTCTCCCGGAACCTCTTATTGAGGGCGTCACGATTCCCCTCATCCCATTAAGTCCATCTGTGACACCATTTTTGCTTGCGCCCCTTTTAGGGACTTTACAGTACCAACTTTCTAGAGTGCCCCTCTATTAGAGACATTATGGTACTTTACTCTGCCGGGCTCCACTGGTTGGGGTGGTGGTAACAAGCAGTTCCAAGTACTGCCCAGTCAACAGTCCTCTCTCTAGGTTCCCTCTGGGGAGCTCGCTCTCTGGAGGAGTATCCTACCAGCTCTCCACATTGCTTTCAAGGTTCCCTGCAGCCTGGCTCGGCTCGATCCTCCTCCTTCCGGTTCCACTCTCCCCCCTCTTGGTTGTTTCGGGCTCTTCTTTATACCAGCCTTGGGAGTTCCCAGCCCCTCCCCTCCAGAAACACCTGGGTAAGGAGGGTTTCTGCCAGGCTCTTTGGGGCTGTGGGTCTGGGGACACTGACCCTATGTTTAGCCCTTGTGTGTTTGAGCCCTGGGACTCTCTCTTCCTCACAGCTGCTCCCGGGGCTGTTGCAGCTGGGGCTGGAATGAGTGCCACACCCGACGCCACCCAGGGCTCCATTTGTCTGCACTCACTCCAACCTATGCTGGAGCAGCCCCAGGAGCAGCCAACACCAGCTGTCTTCACCAGGGCACAGCATAGCCCAAGAGCAGAGGTGAGGGTAGACAAGTGGAGCCCAGGCTTAGTGGGGACACGCGGAGCATGGTGCAGCCCAGCAGCTGGCACTGGCCACTCTCAGGGCTGCTGCAGCCGGGGCTGGGGTGAGTAGGGTCACGGCCCTTTCCCTTCCCCCTCCAGACTTACCTGCTTGGGTCAGGGGGTGGCGTCTATGCTGATCACATAAGAGGGAATTTACCTCGCATATAACGAATTATGGGTCTTAAATATGCTCATTGTATAAGAGTGAATTTGCATATAAAGAACCCTCAAAAATTGACAGAAACCTGTATATGAGGATATTTTACAATGAACAGAGGAGGTGTTCTTAGCTCTGATATTGCAAATGTATGACAGCTGTGAAATGTTAACAACAAAATAGGAAAAATGCAGGCTACATACTTAAGGAATTAGATGGTTATTTTGCCTTTCTATTTTCAATAAATTATCACTGTAAGTCTGTTTGCAAATCTGTTTGGAAAATCTTACACTCCACTCCACTCCAGCTCTCTTGGCAGGATGTATTAAGAGTCAGATGTTCTATCTAATATGCAGCTGCTCATGGCTGAGTTCCAAATTTAACTGGAGCAGAGGTAATTGTGTATATCAAACTGGGTTAATGCTTTTATTCTTTGGCACTAAACATAATAGGTTAACCCCACTGGCTAGGGACAGAAGTTGCACATAAGTTGCAGTTTAAGTGTTCAGAAACTGGTTTAATCCTGTAACAACAGAAGTTCAGTGCACATAAACCAGTTTCAAAATGGCTGAAACTGGTTTAAGATAAACCTGGTTGAATGTAGTATCATTGTTAACTGATTTCGGTTAACTCGGCTTATGAAATTTTTGTCCTAGACCCTTTCCAGGTTTAAGTTAAATCATAGTCCCTCATCATCCCAGGATGTTTTGCAGCCCTGGGCTGGACTGTACTGTGTGCTCAAGGAGAGCTGGGTTGGCCCTGCCGCTCTGCTCCCTAGCCAGAGCAATGAGGGCTGGCTGACAAGGGAACGGGATTGGGAAACCTGGCTCTCTGCTCTAGTGGTAAACCCTGAACTCTCCTGCTAGCTTCAGTAGCAAGTTAGATTCATTACTCATATTCAGAGAAAATAATTCACTGTATCTTTAGTTTTATCCCTTCAACTATTCTCCCTCCTCAAAGCTATTCCCTTCTCCAGTGTTACTTATTCGTGTCTCTGCCCTCATTCCCCTTTTTTGCAGCAGGTTTCCTCTTTCCTGTTCTGTCTCGGCTCTCTGTCTCACTTGAACTGGCATCAGGCAGTGAGATCCCAGTGCCTTGTGTCCACCCACAGAGGCAGAGTGCGAGAAGCAGCTTTGGTTTTTTGGGTAGATGTGATATATTTTATTAGACCAACTAAATAGTTGAAAAATTGTTCACTGCAAATGCCCTTCTTCAGGCACAGGGAGAGTCTGTTGGTGTTTGTGTGCTCTCCTGGGTAGAATGGAAACCAATATGCAAAATGCAAATCTGTGAAAATGCAAATGCGTGTCAGTAAGGTTCAAAGGGAACGGGAGATGGTAGGAGATAGGTTTTCGGTGTGCATTCATTCTGGTACACAGTTGTTCGCTGGTTTCTCCTACATATTTTCCATCAGGGCATTGGTCCACTGGATGAGATGTATTACATTTCTGGAGGTGCAGGTGTAAGATGGAGGAATGGTGATGGTTCTGTTGTGGGATGTAGTTATTGTGGGAGTGGTGGAAATATGTTGGCAGGTTTTTACATGTTTTGGATCTATTCGGTGTGGTTTGGGCCATAGGAAGTTCGCTTCTGGTAATGAGGCTGGGGAAGTTTGGTGCCTGTTTAAAGGCTAGGATGGGTGGTTCTGGAAAGATCTCACCAAATTTGCACTGAGAATACCCATGATTGTCACTATGCAAATCTCAAAAAGGCTTTTACCCAATGAGGACACTGGTCCGGAGATGGATCGTAATTTTGAAAGAACCAACCGGATACCACATGAAGAATTGCTGCAGTACAAAAAGAAAATCCCCATGAATCACACACCATTGGTTATGAAATACCATCCCTCCCTGCGACCTATATGGAAAGTCCTCAAACAATTGCAACCCATACTAGAAGGAAACCTAACTCTTTAAGAGATCTTTACAGAACCACTTATCCTAGCCTTTAAACAGGCACTGAACCTTGCCAACCTCATCACCAGGAGCAAGCTTCCTATGGCCTAAAACACAACGAATGGATCCAGACCAAGCCAGGACAAGAAATGTAAAAACCTTCCAACACATCTCCACCACCCCCACAACTAACTACACCCCACAACAGAGTCATCACCATTCCTAGATCTTAAACCAGCATCTCTAGAAATATAATATATCATGCAGTGCACTAAATACCCTGATGGAATATATATAAGGAGAAACCAGACAACTGTGTACCAGAATAAACTCTCATGAAAAATCTATCAAAGAAAAAAATAGCCAATTACCTGTGGGTTCACACTTCTTACAAGACGACCACTGTCTCTCCAATCTCTCAGTTCTAATCCTCAAAGGAAATTTACAAAGCACCTCTCATAGTCAAGCCTACGAATTTCACTTCATAAATCTACTAGATACAGAAAAATCATGTACTAAATATAAACATTGCATTTGTGGCACATTATAACCTGCCTGCCATCTGATAACCCCAGGTAACCTGTCTGCCTTTTCCAGCCACATTTTATCACCTTCTCCCCTCTTCCCTACCTCCCCACAACTGCCTTTTCACACCTATTGTTCCTGACACACATTTGCATTTTCACAGACCTGTATTTTGGCTTCTATTCTACCCAGGAGAACACATAAACACCAACAGACTCTCTCTATGCCTGAAGAAGGGCATTTGTGCCTGAAAGCTTACAGTGAACAATATTTCCAACTATTTGGTTGGTCTAATAAAAGATATCACATCTATCCAAAGAACCTTGTCTATGACAGGTTACCTACAGTTATCATATGGCAGCTTTCCCCTTTAAAGGGACTGGCACGTTGCAAAGGCTCCAGCTCCTCAGCAGTATCAGATTTACCAGAGCACATGCACACAGCTGAGAGCAGGCGACATGGCTAAGCCCCAGCCCAAAGCCAGCGCACTGAGCCGGGGAAGGGCAGTTTAAACCCCCTCCCTGGCCCTGGACCCCAGCCTGGGATTGCCTGGCGGGGGACAGCCCCCTCAAGCTGTTACCCCTGCCCACCTCACTCCCCATTTGAGCAGAGAACAGAGTGTGGCCACACCCACTCCAATCGAGCTGTGGGGGACGGGATGGGGGGATGCCTTGGACCTTCAGTGCCTTCCCTTTTGGCAGTGAGGTGTGCTCTAGCATCCTCCGAGCCACTGTAGGCATGTGGCTGTATTTCCTGAATCAAAAGTGAATGTCTGTTCACTTGCTTCTCAGTTTAATCTCTGCAGCTTAGACTAACCTGCAAAGACTGAATTGATTCAACCTCGGGCTTTTTGGCTGTGTGTACTTAGCCACTGAGGGAAAACGCAATAAAAAATTACTACTTTTGTTTCATGTGGATGGAAAAAAGTAAAAGGTAACTACACTCAGTTTAGAGTCCCTTCCCAATGCAGCACACCACAATAGCAATATTAAGCAAAACAGAGACAAGTGTCTTAAGTAAACTTTTTAATTCCTCAAACCTCACAAGCATCTTGGAATGAACTGAGAAAAAGAGGCTGACATTGATAGTTCAATTTGTAGCAAGAGGTTTTTGACCTCCAAAATGAGTCTCTGTTTAAGGATAAAATTTTAAATGCATCTGGCATACTTTTCAGCATGTGCAAATACTTGTGTTCACAAAATTGTGAAAGCACATGTATGTACCCACTCACTCTGTGTGCAGCCCACCTGACTGTCTCTAACCTTCACCACACACACATTTTAGATTTCTTATGCTTTGTGCAGCTGGTTGCCTACACATATTTTGCACACATAATGGGAAGGTCTGGTATACACCTCATAGACTTCCATTGTTGAATGACCAAATTGGGTCTAGTAGGTGACAGGAGTTAGTGTAAAAGAACCCATTGTAATTAGCTAAGAACCTGGCCAACTAGATGGATGGGGGGAGAAAAGTGATGGGATGTCCCTTTTAAGTCACTGAATGTGGTGCATCTCAACTCAATAGTGAATGGAAGTTAGTGTCATTTAAGTGGTTCTTCTGAGCTATGTGAAGTAAGTTGGGAGGGTCAGGAAATGCAGGAAAATCATTTTCTAGTGTTAACATTTATGAAAACTTCCAGATTGGCTACAGTCGAAATATATTCTTAGGACAGTCTGTTATGATGTCATCCTAATAAAGATCACTCTCCCTATGTCTCTTCCAGTTCACAGAAAGACACAAGAAGGTTCTGCAGTGGAAATGACTCCTATAGAGGCAGATTTCTCTTGGCAGAAGAAGATGATGGAACTTGAGATGGAAATCCAGGAGGCTTTCCTACGCTTCATGGCATCTATTTTAAAGGGGTACAGACCATTCCTCAAGCCAATCACACAGGCACCTTCAAATAAAGCTACTGCTGCTGATTCCTTGTTTGACCATCAAGGTGAGGATGTTTTTTGCCCCATACAAACTGTGTTCATCTTTGTGATGTAATATGTGAAATCAGGCCCAACAGCCAAGTTGGGGTGAGGGCAGCATTGTACAGGGTGCAGTTCAAAAGCATGCAAGTAGATGTAGTCCATGATTTGAAGAGCTAACTTATGAGTTAATAGTATGGCTCACATGTACTTCACACCCGAGAGTATTCTAATCATTTAAATTTCCTTTGAATCTTTTAGAAATTTTAATCTGATAAAATATAGATAAAGATGTTTAGTATTGATTAAAACATGGATATTCCACTAACGTAACTGCAGGCTTTGCCACAGGGATAGTAGTGTGACATATTGTCTTACAATAATGTGATACTATTTCTGGTTTGCTTGGGAGTTGTTAAGACAACTCTGGAGTTTAAGAAACATTACTATTTATATTGAGAATAAATAGTAATCAGTCACCTGATTACAAGGAGCAAAGTAAAGTATTCTTAATTCTGTTTAGAATAAAGATAGAAAATTGAGGAGAAGAGAAACATCGTTTGGCCCCCCCTTCAGTTCATTCTAGTTTGCAGACATTTCATATCTGCTGCTTTTTTGGCCCCTGACAAACACTTAAGATTGTGATTAACTGGTTAACTGCAATCTTAAGCAGTGACCTAACCACACATTCAGTCAATTAATGGCATGATAAAATGAGTAATGAGCCAGCCACAAAGTTATTACAAAAATATGTGCAATAACTTTTTTGTGTCTGGTTCCTATCACACCTTTAATTGATTGCCTTTCAGGACTCCTGTGTGCTCCAAAGACTGGGAGGAGGAACCTCAGTTGATTGGGGTGCTCAGCTGGGGGATTATACTACATGGTCCCCCAGCTGGGAGCTCCGATCAGCTGATGGGCCTCAGGAGCAGAAGGTGTGCTCATCCAGCTCGAAGACAAACTTGCTGCTTGCCAGTGCAGAGCTTCCCCTGCTCCAGCAATATGGCACAATGGGATCTAATTCAGGATGCCACGTTCATGCCTTTTGCCATTCACACAGGCAGGAGGCACAAATGTGGGATCCTGCATGAAATCCTATTGTGTCTTTATTTTACTTTACTTTAACATCTGTCAGGAGCATTTGAGAGAGAGACAGAGAGAATTGAGAACAGGTAATAAAGGCACATTTGTTAATTTGGAAAATAACTGAAGTATGTTCAGATTCTACACTTATCTCTGAGAGTCTTATCAATTTTTGTGATTTTTATGGGGACTCTTTCCTTAAGTTGTGTGTGTCCTCTTTTTTACGTGGAAGGGGAAATGACTGTTCCCAAAGTACTGAAAAATATTAAGTAAGCAAACTCAGAAAATAAAGTAGTGGCTCTTCTAATGTTTCAAATGTTAAAAATGCTAGGTATTTATAATTGCATTAAAAGCAAGACTTTCATTAAAATGTGATTTATTTATTTAAATGTTAACTTTCATGTTAATTTTTCATGGAACTTTGTCTTAAATGTGGTATTTAGTTGTGCTTGTTTTTTTGACCAGGGTTTTTAAAAAGTAGAGACCGTGCCTACACAAAATTTTATGCACTTCTAACAAAAACACAGATATTTAGCCGCTTCATAGAAGAGTGCAGTTTTGTGAGTGACAAGGACACTGGCTTGGCATTTTTTGATGACTGCACAGAAAAGGTGAAAAATACTTTACATTTTTGAAAAAGTTGTAATGTGCTTCTGTTAAATGCGCATTGGTGACTGTTGCTTTTAGTTATAAAAGGGAGACTTTCTCAGTGGAGCAGCTGTTGTAATGAGATAGTGTTTAGTAGTTATCACTCAGTCACTTTTCCTTTTCATGTTTCCTCTAACTTTTGTGGAAATTGAGGAAACTTTCTGTGGGGCCCCCATAACTTAATCTGTAGATTAGTCTGTGAAGTTTCCTATAGTGAGCAGGGTGGAGATGGCTCTGTACATAATATGCCAGTTTCCACCAAATGCCTTTTGAATGGTTACCAGTCTC